TACCTGATTCTCCGTAAGTGTCCCCGTCTTATCTGACATGATGTATTGTACTTGCCCAAGTTCTTCAGGGATGTTTAAAGCCCTGAACCGAACCCATTGAATTGACCAGAACTAGCACGGGAAAAGGTAACTGACCTGCACTGCACCCGTTTATCGACCTTCTCGTAATACATATTTAGATCTTGAGAAATCAACCATACTTGCCCAACTTTGATAAATTCAATAGAAACATAAAGTGAGATCGGAATGAGAACCTGAAAAGCAAAGTCATAAGATTTTTAACTTTGAGTTGAAGAACAATTTTTCTTTCATTCTCTTCTTTCTTAGGATGTTAAGGTAAACCACAAACAGACTGCAATTCTTCACTCCGAAGTTTCGGATTTAATACTAACAATAAGATTCACACTTACACTGTATACTCGAGCACGAAAATTAATTTTGATTTGTTACAAGTGAGCTAGTCATTTCAAAGAATTTCAATTATCAAAGTGCTTAAAAAACTCCATCAAAAGCCACTTTCAGACTCTGGAGCTGTCTCAATTTTGACTGACTCACATGGGTAGAAATCCATTAAAATGTGGCAACTGATTACGGTATTGCTCCATTTGACATTCAAAAGTCTGTTATTTATCTATTTTTTCAAAGACTTACCTGTAAAACAATGATAAAAGACCAGAAATTCCAAAAACTTTCAAAGGACGGACGAAATTCCGTGCCGCCTGGCATTTCAGACCATGTGAAGAACGGCACCTTGTACGGCAAAGAAAAACTTCGCATCCACACTCCTGCATATTTTGAAGATAATCGCAAAGCGAAAGGGAAAAAACAAAGCTTCACCTGAAAGCACTGCACCGGTGATACATAGTGCTAGAAGGATCACAACGCACCATATGATGTCCAAATTCGTCAGTCGTTCCAAAGTACTCCTGAATTTGATAATTTGAATACGCCCAAACTTCCCAAGAAATTTTTTCACGATAAAAAATACCCCTTCTCAATAGACATACCTCTTGTAGCGTGGCCCTTTGTTGTTCAGCATAGCTTTCGTATCGTTTCCTGTAAAATTTGTGGTTAGGATATGAAAACATGTTAGGGTCCCGACCATCCCCATCCCCCCAAATGAGCTGCGAAATTTCTCGAGCTAACTACAAAACAGCAATTGTGCACTTGCAAATTCGGAATCATCAAAGCAGTTCTTAGAGTCTCCAATTTTAGCTTTGTAAGAAAAAGCTTTTGAGGAGTGGTGGATGCCATTTTCCTGTTTCCAAAACTCCAAAGATATAGTGCAAGAGATGCAAACTTCAAAGAAATTTCGAAGGGTTGCGTGAGCCACGCCCTTTATCGAAATCCCTCCCT